GGTGATGTCAGGGGGTGTGGCATATGCTAATGAGTTATGCTAATGAGTTCCCCTAGCTCTTTTTCTACGAAACGACCCCTGCTTAGGCTTCAGTTCAGTTGGGGATAATATCCAAGGGGTGTCCTGGGAGAGAGGCTTTGAAATTGCGTTCTAAGGAGAGAGTGGAGGCAACATATGGTATTTGGGAGCACTTCTAGTTAGGGTTGCCAGGTCCCCCTTGGCCACTGGTGGGGAATTGGGGTGGGTGGGCAGGGTTGCCAGATCTAGTTGGGAAACTTGTGGAGATTTGGGGATGGAGCCTGGGGAGGACAGGGACCTCAGTGGGGTACAGTGCCATAAAGTCCACCCTCCAAAGCAGCCGTGTTCTCCAGGGGAACTGATCTCTGTAGTCTGGAGATGAGCTGTAATTCCTGGGGATCCCCAGGTCCCACCTGGAGGCTGGCATCTCTACTTCTGTGAGAGCCGGTTTGGGTGAGAGCCACTTTGATGTGGTGGTTAGGGGTGTGGACTCTAATCTGGGAGAACTGGGCTTGATTTCCCCACTTCTCCACATGCAGCTGCTGGTGTGACCTTGGGTCAGTCACAAGTTCTTTCAGAGCTGTTCTCTCACAAGCAGTGCTCCAGAGAGCTCTCTCAGCCCCACCCACCTCACAGGGTGTCTGTTGTGGGGAGGGGAAGGGAAAGGAAATTGTGAACCACTCTGAGACTCCTTTGGGTAGTGAAGGGTGGGGTATAAATCCAATTTCCTCCGCCTTCTTCTTCCCCCATACTATTTCCAGCTTAGACAGAGGAGTAGAGAGGTTCATGGAGGATGTGTCCATTGATGGAGACTAGCCTTGAGGGAACTTTACCTCCAGAGGCAAAAAGCCTCTGAATCCTTGTTCTAGGAGGCAACATCAGGGAAAGACCTTGGTCTCAACGGCTTGTTTGTGGCTGGTTGGCCTCTGTGCGAGACAGAATGCTGAATTAGATGGCTTGAATCAGCAAGGCACTTCTGATGTTCTTACCTTCAGTGTTTCTGCTTTGACAAATAGTCTTTACATGGTTTGTTTTTTTTTGTATTAGGAGTCACCCATGTGGATCTGTTCCTGTTTTTTTTACAAAGTTATCATGGGTACATACTTAGCGGCCCTTGCCTTCATTTCCATAAACGCGGCTCCGTTCTGAGGGGTTCAAAGGGGTCTATCGTATATCAGTCACAGAGCTTTGTAAGGGTGGGCAGTATTATTGCTCTCCTTCTTGCCCATCGGGGAGGGGGTGGCAGAGAGAATCATGTTTGTACAACGCCTCGAGATCCACAAGGAAGAAAGGGGGCTAGGAGATGTTTTAAATGAAATAAACAAATGTGTGAAAAGGCCGATGCGTTCAGACAGCAGCTCCATACCCTGTTGTTTCAGTGCATAACTTAAGCTGTAAGTAGTGGCATTGGTGGCTCAGAGGTTAAGATGCTGAACTGCAGACCGGAAGGTCGGCAGTTCGAGACCCGAGTGCCGTATGACGGAGTGAGCTCCCGTCTCTGGTCCCAGCTCCTGCCAGCCTAGCAGTTCGAAAGCAAGAAATTCCAAGTCGATAAATAGGCACCGCTTCGGTGGGAAGGTAACAGCGTTCCGTGCGCCTCGGCGTCTAGTCATGCCGGCCACATGACCACGGAGAAGTCTTCAGACAACGCTGGCTCTTTGGCTTGGAAACAGAGATGAGCACCGCAACCCTAGAGTCGGATTCGACTGGCTTTCGAGCAAGGGAAACCTTTACCTTTTACTAGTGGCATTGGGTAAAAGCTGTGAGGACCTGTGAGCTCCCCGTTTGATTTATGGCTGTCAGGGGCACCCTGAATACAAATACCTAACCTCTAAATGATCCACTAGCTTGAAATATCCTCAAGATTCCTTTCTTTCACATTGCTGAGAACCTTTTTGTCTTCTTCTTCTTGTGGAAGCAAGCAACTGGTGTTGTTAAATGTTTTATAAGATCTGAGCTGTGGTATCTGTTGCGCCCGAGGTCATCTTTATCATCTTTTCCTTTCCTTCCCATCCTTTTGTTTCATCGGACTGGATGACGTAACAGAAGAAGAGCTAAAATGGCGGGGGCGGGGAAGAGGGGGTGGGAGAATTGACAAAGCAATACTTTGAGTGACCGGAATGGCATCGTTTTTATTAGGACCAAGCGGAATGTCAGAAAATAATGAGCACGCTTGGATTCTCCAGGACTCTTCGCTACTTAAGAACAAACCAAGAGGCAGTGTGGTGTAGTGGTTAGAGTGTTTGTCTAGGATCTGAGAAACCCAGGTTCGAATCCCCACTCTGCCATGGAAGCTTGCTGGGTGACTTTAGGCCAGTCACACACTTTCTTCCCAACCTACCTCACAGGGTTGTTGTGAGGGTAAAACAGAGGAGAAGAGAAGGATAAAAAGCTGCTTTGGGGAGAATGGCAGGATATACATGAAGTAAATAAATAAAATTTGGGGTGGGGGAGGGGTTAAAAAATAAGAAGTCAC